CGGAGAACTTTCCGGTGGCAGAAAGGGTTCTAACCGTAGTAAGGACTCTCGCTTTTGCTTTACATTCTTGCATTGGAACCATTCCTTCGCAAGTTAAAGACGAATCTGGTCCTGCGCGGAATTTCCCTGCCTGGGGCTACCACCTCAGCCAGGTATTCTGCCTATGCTGACGACGTTTCAGTTCTTGCATCGAGCAGAGCCGAGATTGACAAAGTCAGCAAGGAGATCAGTGGGTATGAGATGGTGACAGGGGCCAAGATCAACCACGATAAGTCTGTTGGCTTGCAGTTAGGTGCGTGGAAGGGAGTTTCTCTTCCCGGACCCTTCCTCTGGACGGATGGGCCGATCAAGATACTCGGCGTCTGGTTCGGTCCTGATCTCCAGTTGAAAATGAATTGGTCAGAGGTACAAGGGAAGGCCGAGATCGCAGTTAATCTGTGGTCTCGGAGGAGACTTTCCTTGAAGGGAAGGGCGGAAGTATGTGTTTCACACATCTATCCGATTCTCCTGTACTGACTCTCTGTACTTCCACTCCCGTATGCCAGACTAATTTTATTAGTACGGATCTTGTTCTCTTTCTTGTGGAGAGACAAGTCCCCTATGGTATCTCGCGAGATCTGTTGCCTTCATCCCTCTGAGGGTGGTTTGGGTATGCCTAGCATTGAGATTCGTCAACATATGCTTCGCATCACCTTTCTAGACCAAATGTGTCGCGGATCGGATGAGGTGGGTGCCTTCTGGAAAGAAGACATCCGTAAACATTTCCCATCCCTGAGAAGTGTGTGCTCGTGCGAGGAGGAGGCCGGCCGTAGACCCCGAGCCGAGTGCTCCTTCTACAGCGAATGTCATCGTGCTCTGAAGCTCCTCTTACGGGCTTCGGATGGCCTCTCCAACGCCCAGGCATTGTCTCGCAAGGCATTGTATCAAGTGTTAGTTGGGGGGGCCGTTCAAGATGATCTAATTGGCGAGCTCGGTCTTACAAAGCAGGAGGCTTGCTCGATATGGCCTTGGGCGCCTGGGTTGAAATGCCTCAATAACGATGAGGCATCACTCACCTGGCTGGTGATTCGTGAAGCCCTCTGGGTCGGCAAGAGACTTTGTTCAGCAGGCTTGGAGAAATATCCAAACTGTCGTCGCTGTATGGGGGAAGTCAAGACCATTGGTCATGCCTTCTTTCAGTGCAAGGTGGTAGTGCAGGTTTGTTGAAGGCCTCATGGTTCGCATGCTGCAGGGAAAGTTTTTTGTCCTTGAAGCCAGTTCTGTTTGTAGCAATGTGGTGCCGCAGATGACGAAGGCTGAACACTGTGTTCTGTTGCTTGCTAGGGGTTATGAGAGTCATGATTTGGACGACGCGTCAGAAGGAATTCTATGAGGGCGAGAAGTTCACTTCTTCCCAACTGATCTTGTTAAGCATCAGTTTAAAGTCAAGATTAAGACGGAAAGGC